CCGGGCATGGTCATGCACCAGGAGGAACCCAGGACTCGCTGCACCAGTGTAGGGTCTGATAATGGGTCCAAGGATTTCATCCCGATACCTAAAGGCAGTCACGGTGCCATTGTCTGTCCTGTAGAGGTCTGTGGCAGAGATGGCCACCAGGCTCACAAATTACATCACTGGAGGGGAGGTGCAATAGACTTTAGTCTTGTTTACAGGTTTTCCCTCCCCAGCAAAAAAACAAAAAAAACAGTAGCCTGGCACATTTACCTTCATACTCCAGGGTTTCTCAACCAGGATTTCTCCAGCGATTGCTAGGGAACCCTTGAGCAATTTCTGTGGTCTTTTAAGCTATCTGTAAGGGGGTAATTCTTCCCCATGACCACAAGTGTAAGGAGCGTTCTTCCCACTGACCGCCAAGGTAAGGAGCGTTCTTCCCACTGACCGCCAAGGTAAGGAGCGTTCTTCCCACTGACCGCCAAGGTAAGGAGCGTTCTTCCCACTGACCGCCAACGTCAGGGGCCTTCTTCCCACTGGTCGCCAACGTCAGGGGCCTTCTTCCCACTGGTCGCCAACGTCAGGGGCCTTCTTCCCACTGGTCGCCAACGTCAGGGGCCTTCTTCCCACTGGCCGCCAACGTCAGGGGCCTTCTTCCCACTGGCCGCCAACGTCAGGAGCCTTCTTCCCACTGGCCGCCAACGTCAGGAGCATTCTTCCCACTGGCCACCAACGTCAGGAGCATTCTTCCCACTGGCCACCAACGTCAGGAGGATTCTTCCCACTGACCACCAACGTCAGGGGCATTCTTCCACTGGTCACCAACGTCAGGGGCATTCTTCCCACTGGTCACCAACGTCAGGAGCATTTTTCCCACTGGCCACCAACGTCAGGAGCATTCTTCCCACTGACCACCAACGTCCGGAGGATTCTTCCCACTGACCACCAACGTCCGGAGGATTCTTCCCACTGACCACCAACGTCAGGGGCATTCTTCCCACTGACCACCAACGTCAGGGCAACGTCAGGGGCATTCTTCCCACTGACCACCAACGTCAGGGGCATTCTTCCACTGGTCACCAACGTCAGGGGCATTCTTCCCACTGGTCACCAACGTCAGGGGCATTCTTCCCACTGGTCACCACCCCGTCAGGGGCATTCTTCCCACTGGTCACCAACGTAAGGAGCATTCTTCCCACTGACCACAAGTGTAGGGAATATTCCCACCGACCATCATACTAATCTATCATGAATTGTAGATATAGTATTATCTAGCAGGGATTCCCTGAGCTGGGTAAGGTATTTCAAGAGTTCCTCATTGTTGAACAGGTTGAGAAAGGCTGCTCAACTCTCCACCTTTCAGCATGTTCCTTGCTAGTGCATGGACCAATCTTACACTGCTTGGATCAAAAGGATAGATATATAATAATAAAAAAAAAAACATTAACCACTTGCCTTTTTTTTGGTGGACTTTCAGGTTGACTCACATTTATGTTGCGAATGGGAAATAATAAATTTTGCAAAAACTAAACAAGGACTGGCCTAGGGTATGCTAGGATATTATGACTGCCAAGATTAATCTGCCAATCTCAGGAAATGCTAGATGCCTGTCTACCTGACTGACTTGTAAGTCATCCAGAAAAAGCACAGAGCAAGATCAGGGTCCAAAAAAAAAACCACACACACGCAAAATTAGTTCATAACCGCTCTCCTTTGACCTCGGCTCACACTGCTGCAACTTAGGATCCGACTTGTGAGACCAAGTCACATGGCATGTGAAATCCCATAAGCAGGTCCGGTTTAGAAAAAGGTTCCTGTACTACTTCAAAGCGACTTCTATCCGACTTGTGTCCATACTTTAATGGAAGTCACCTCCCAAGTCCAATCCTCATCGATATGGATGTGATTTGGATCCGACCTTACAAGATTACCCAGGCATTCCCTGAAAGTTACTTTAAAGTAGTTCTCAAGTTGCCTGGCAAAGTCACACGTGCAGGTTGCAGTAGTGTGAACTGAGATTTGGGGTCCCCTCACACAGACGTTCAGTCTCCAAACCCCCCCCCCCCAGGAGTTCAGTCATGTTTTTTCTCCAAAGAAAAAAAAAAATTCTCAGTTGCTACATCAGGTTTTTTTTACATCCTTTACTAATGCAAACACTGACCGTATGTTCATTTATTATTATTATACAGTATTTATATAGCACTAAAAGGTTTGCTCAGCACTGTACATTATAGTGGGGGACAGAACACAACCCCACACAACAGATGATCAGTTTACATCCGATAGTCCATGGAAATCTATTGGTGTCCATCTTTCATGTGTAAAAACAGGCAGATGAAAGAAGAAAAAGAAAGGAAAAAAAAACCAGGTGGGAAAAAACGTGCATACAGAACACCCGTGTAAAAGGACCCTTAGTGGCTTTTTTTTTTTATGTCACCTGTGTAAAACGATCCTTAGTGGAGTTTTTCTCATCTTACACTCGTGTAAAAAGGACCCTTGGTGGGTTTTTTTTTTCCATCTGTCACCCGTGTAAAAGGACCCTTAGTGGAGATTTACCTCATCTGTCACCCGTGTAAAAGGACCCTTGGTGGAGGTTTTCCTCATCTTACACCCCGTGTAAAAGGGCCTTTGGTGGAGGTTTTCCTCATCTGGCACCCGTGTAAAAGGGCCTTTGGTGGAGGTTTTCCTCATCTGGCACCCGTGTAAAAGGGCCTTTGGTGGAGTTTTTCTCATCTTACACTCGTGTAAAAAAGAACCCTTGGTAGAGTTTTTCCTCAACTTACACTTGTGTAAAAGAACCCTTGGTAGAGTTTTTCCTCATCTGTCACCCGTGTAAAAAGGACCCTTAGTGGAGTTCTTTTTTAAAACTAAAAACGGAGGGGCTAGCTGCATCTTTGCACTCTTTCCATCAAAACAAGTTGCATAAAATTCGATGCTGAGGGGTGCAACTACCTCATGTGGACAGAACAGATTAAAATAAATTTCATTAAGTCTTTTTAAAAAAAAAACCAAACAGTTTATACTTGCCTGCTCTGTGCAGTGATTTGGCAGAGTGTGGCCCCAAACCTCCTCTTCTCAAGCCCCCCGTTGGCATTCCTGGCTCCTCCCTTAAAAATGCCCCCAAAGAAAGCCTCTTACTGACATCCCTGTACGGTAAAGCTTGAGCTCACCACAACACACACATTCCAAGCTGACGGTACGCCCTTCTTTGGATCCACCAACAACCAGGTAGTGCAAGGCTTCCCAAACTAGATACAAAGCGATTGGTTAGTTTAGGCAAGTCCTGAGATCACATTTTGGTAGATCTAACGTCAGTTGTGATTGTAACGTGTATGGTAACCATTTGTTGCAGAATCATCTATTCCCAGGATAGAAGCAGATCTGATTCTGTCTCGCCAACCCCCCCATCAATGCATTATGTGCTAGATGTAGCCATACAGAATAAGCCAGCAGTATTAGATGATGCAGACTAATCTCTAGCTCACCGGCAACACCATTGAATTCTGCATCATGGCCTCTGCAGCCGAGAGGTGCAAGTCACGGGTAGCATGCCGACCATGATGATTAAGAAGGGAAGCATTTAAATTATATAAAAAAAAAAAAAAATGGCCGCTAAGGGGTAGCCAGTGCTACATACATCCACGGAGCTCTTCCCAATACACCGTCTTCCCCTTCCAGAATGGGCATCTTATAGTCAAGTCCAGACAGAAACACCAACAAGCTTTGATTTGTTTTAATAATTAACATCTACAAAACATGAATAAAAAAAAAAAACACAAGACAACAGGAAAGAAGGACAAGAACAGTGAAAATGTCAACATGCACAGTACAAAGAATTTCTGATTTAAACTGTCAGTTTTAAAGGCACATTGACTGTTAAACAGAAGGGGGGGGGGGGGGGACCACAAAAAAACTAGCAACCCCCAAATTTTTCCTGGTACAGCATGGAGGCTGCAATACATTCTCCAAGCTGAAAGTGACACTGGGACATTTCTTCAAGCTGGCAGAAGCCATCAATGACTGACCATCTCCTGCTATGGGCTCCAGGCAGCCATTTTGGAGAGGACCGCAAGCCCTGCTTACAAGTACTCCCTCCTGATGGTTTTATTTGTTGATACCTATAGTAGGCGGGGAGATGGGTTGTATGCTATGCAAAGGCCCAAAGTAACTTCCTCAGTCGGAGTAGCCAGGCAATGCCTCCGCAGCCCCCCCCCCCCCCCCCCCCCCCCCCGCAAACCACGGCTCAGACCCAGAAGTATCTGGAAACCAGCAGCCTGATGAGACCTTAAGACAGCCCACTTCAGCCAATAGGTACTTAACCTCTTCACACCAGTGAACACAAATGTGCGGCCTCCTGGCGTCTGGGCCTAGACGCCGAGCGGCCCGCACATTTGCGTTCTATTAAAAAAAATATATATATATATTTGCTGAGAGCACACGCCCTGCGCACTCCCAGCACATGTCCGTTAGTCACGTAAAGGTCCTGATCTCCGCTTTCGATCGGGACCTATCCCGATCATGTGACCGCCATGACGCGTCACATGATCCCTAAACCCTGCCCCGTGCTTCTGAAATTCTTAAAGGGCCAGGAGGCACCGGCGTGAAGGGGTTAAGGGCGCTATGCTGCAGTTTTGTGTAGGGAACTACAAAAGGGGTTGATAGAGGTAACGTTTGTTAAAGCAGGCAGTAATTTCACCATTTAGACCATATGCAAGCGCATCGTACATCATGTCCATATGGGGTTTCTAAGTTCTTCAAATCTAATTTTGTTTGCACGTGTGGCTAGGGGGAAGAGGGGTGGTAAAATAAGGTGGCTGAGATGTTTTTCCCCCCCTCCCCCCCAACTGCGGAGTTTACTTCTGCTTTAAAAGCATTCACGCCTCTGCTCGAGAACAGAGCTCACAATCACGTTCACCTACAGTTATAGAAACGTTACAGCAAAACAAAGCTGCCTTCTCAGTTAAAACATTAAAACCATTGCAACAGAAACCTTTAAACAGCATATAATAAACAATTTACTTGAGACCTTCCGCTTCCAAGGCCTCTACAATTTGAGCTGCAGAAGGCCGTTCCTTGGGGTCCTCGCTGGTGCAAATAAAGAACAATTCAATCACCTTCTGGTAGGACTCATCGAGCTCATCTATGTTAAGCGCTGGTCTCGTGCCCAAAGCTTCATAAAAAGCGTCCTCATCGAAGTCATCTTCAGCGAATGAATCCTCTGTACAGACAATGGAGATGACCGGTTATTGGTTGCAGAATGCACAATAGATCTGATGAATAAACGGAATCTGAAACAAAGTCTACCTCATACCAATACTTGATGGGAATGAAGAATATAAAGCAACCTTCCTCCCCGTTAGCTGTGAAATGCCAACTCCCGGGCCAGTAGAAACTAGCATTGGATGGTTGAATCATGAGAGATACGCGGCCCATTTGGACAGAAGGCGCGGCCCATTTGGACAGAAGGCGCGGCCCATTTGGACAGAAGGCGCGGCCCATTTGGACAGAAGGCGCGGCCCATTTGGACAGAAGGCGCGGCCCATTTGGACTCTGAAATTGAAGGAGCTCCACAGGAACTGATTGTAAGAAGATCACAAGGCATTGCAGCAATTGTTGATGATTTGGGGATAAGAAGGTGTCATTTAAAAAAGTTTTCCACCAAACTGAAATTTTTTTCTACTCATTAAAGTGGTTATAAAGCCTAAACCTTTTTTTCTTCCTTTTAAGGGGTTGTAAAGGCTCCACGTTCTTTACATTCATGCATTCGATGCATGAAAATAAAAACAAAAAACACAAACACTGTGTGCAGCAGCTCTCCCAACACTTACCTGAGCCCCATCCCGATCCAGTGATGTCCATGAGAACATCGGTTCTCCAGAGGCTCTCATTCCTGATTGGTTGCTGTCAATTACAGCTAGTGAGCCAAATCAGGAAAGGGAGGGAGAAGGGCTGAGCTGCAGCTCTGTATGTGAATGGACACAGAGCCATGGCTTGGGAGCCCCCATAGCAAGCTGCTGGCTGTAGGGGTGCCTGACAGGAAGGAGGGGAAAAGAAACCAGCGGGGGACCCGAGAAGAGGATCAGGAATGCTCTGTGCAAAACCACTGCACAGAGCAGGTATGTAAAAACAGGGTTTTTTTTTAACCGCTTCCCCGCCGCCCTAGCAGATATACTGCTACAGGGTGCCAGGGTGTGCAAAAATCACACACACACACACACACGATTTTGCATTTCTGGGTAGGGGGAAGCACACTCTAGACACAGCTGTCAATAACCAGGTCCCAGCCGGTGATTACCTGCCGGTGCCCGTTGATTACTAAAGATCTCCAACGTGGAGGACTGCTTTGTTTACCAACAGTCCTCCTCCCTGTCGGATCAGGCACACTGCTCTGGATAGCTATGCACAGCCATCCAGAGCAGTGTCCTTACAGTGAAGCACACTGACACCGCCCCTTAGTAAAACACTCCCAGCACACAGTTGACCCTTTGACAGCCCTTTATGTTAATCCCTTCCTGCCCATTGCCATTGTTTTTTTTTTTCAGCACTGATCACTGCATTGGCGTCACTGGGGATATCAGTGACACCAAGTCAGTTCCCCCCAGTGTCAGAATGTCCGCCGCAGTCCCGCCATAAGTCACCATTTGTAAAAAAAAAAAAAAAAAAAAAAAAAAAAAAAAAAAAAAAAAAAAAAAAAAACGCAGAGGCGATCAATCACCACCAAAAGAAAGCTCAATTCATTTGAAAAAAAAAAAAAAAAAAAAAAAAAAAAAAAAAGGAGATAACTTTAATTTGGGTGCAGCGTTGCAGGATTGCACAATTGTCAGTTAAATTAATGCAGCGCCAGATCGTAAAAACTGTCCTGGTCAGGAAGAAGGGGGGGGGGGGAAACCTCAGGAGGACAAGTGGTTAAATAAAAGACAAGGCTATCACTTTAATGCAGTCTTCACATCAAGGAAAAAAAGGTTTAGGCAACAGTATCCCCCCCCCCCCTTCTACTTATCAGAGCCCCAAATTGATCCAGCGCTGTGCCTATCTGCAGCTCTTCTCTTCCCTCACTTTTTGGTCTCACAGGCTTTGCTGACACATTGGTAGCCACTAGCTCCAGCTGCTGTCAAAACCAGTGTTGAGGGATCAGGGCCGAGTTGTCATGGGCTCTTTACCCCAATCGGTGATGCACTGTGTCCAAAGGACACAGCTCACCCTCAATCATCGCGTGCCAAGAATGAGGGCGCCGTAGGAACAATAGGCTAGGCGGCAACCAGTTAATTTGGGAGTAAAAGCAGTAAAATGGCAACTCTTCAGGCGTAAACTCACCAGTCCAGCACTGGAGGACTCAGAATCAGAGTCTCTCTGGCCATTTGCTCCAAAGTCGCTAGGGCCATGGGCAAATCAGATATAAACACATGCAGGAAAGGGCACAGGAGCCTCAAAAACAGGTGAGTAAAGTCACCTTCGGTCAGCAGCAGGAACAAATGGAAGATCGAAGTTTCACATGGATCTTTGCAAGCAGCCCAACAGCAGGGAGATACTTCTGCCGATCTTGGTGGAGAAAAAGTGTAAGCTCTTGGAACACTCCATCCAGCAGATGATGGCAGTGCTCAGTCCTCCAGTGTTAACCTCTTCTGCATTAAGGTCAGTGGAAATGGGGAATTATTGTGGACAGCAACTTAAAGCGGAACGCCACCCAAAAGGGGAGCAGAACGCCACCCAAAAGGGGAGCAGAACGCCACCCAAAAGGGGAGCAGAACGCCACCCAAAAGGGGAGCAGAACGCCACCCAAAAGGGGAGCAGAACGCCACCCAAAAGGGGAGCAGAACGCCACCCAAAAGGGGAGCAGAACGCCACCCAAAAGGGGAGCAGAACGCCACCCAAAAGGGGAGCAGAACGCCACCCAAAAGGGGAAGTTCAACTTTAAACCCATCTCTCGTTCCCCATTAAGGATTTGCACCTTTGGGGAGCGAGCACCCGAATTTTACAGGTACCCACTACCACTGCGATCGCCTAGGCGATCGGAAGTTGTCCCCCCACACCCCAGTAGTCTTCTGGGACCCGTGACAGGTCCCAGAAGACTACAGGGTCATTCAGAAAGCGCAGTGCTTCTTGCACATATGTAGTGGGCACCCCCATGTGAAGCCGCAAGTTGTCACAGCCGGGTGCCCACACTGAAGATGACGGCTCCAGGGAGAGAAAGTTCCTGTCCCACTGCCGAAACAGTGCCGTATACTAGATCTGTTACAGTCCTGAAAGCTGCTGCATGAGTTCGAAGGAAATAGTTTGTTTGGACCAGCTTGGTCCAAACAAATTATTTAAAAGTTCTCCAAATCATGCAGTTTAACAGGACTTTAATTTTCATTCTAAACCATAAAGCTAAAATTTCACACCTTCATATTCGTTTTCATCTGGCAGGTTGAGGTGCGGTATGGACAGAGTCATCATCTCCCACAAGGTGAGGCCAAACGCATATATATCAGCCTTGTCCGTGATGACACCACCTTCCTCCAAAGTTTCCTTTGGTTTCCAGGACTCCGTTCCAATATAGTGGGCCTTTGGGTCATTCACTGGCAGGAGACAAGAACACATGAAAGGGCACATATTAGGATTTGTCGTCAATTTAAAGTGTAAAAAAGATTTTAAGATAGGACTTGAAATACAAAACCAAAATTGTTTGCAATACTGTAGATACATACAAATATATCAGGGGTCTCCAAACCTTCTAAACAAAAGGTCAGTTTACTGTCCTTCAGACTTGGGGGGGGGGAATAGCGCCCCGTCACTGGTGTCAGTGGGGGGGGGGGGGAATAGCGCCCCGTCGTTGGTGTCAGTCGGGGGGAATAGCGCCCCGTCGTTGGTGTCAGTCGGGGGGAATAGCGCCCCGTCGTTGGTGTCAGTCGGGGGGAATAGCGCCCCGTCGTTGGTGTCAGTCGGGGGGAATAGCGCCCCGTCGTTGGTGTCAGTCGGGGGGAATAGCGCCCCGTCGTTGGTGTCAGTCGGGGGGAATAGCGCCCCGTCGTTGGTGTCAGTCGGGGGAATAGCGCCCCGTCGTTGGTGTCAGTCGGGGGGAATAGCGCCCCGTCGTTGGTGTCAGTCGGGGGGAATAGCGCCCCGTCGTTGGTGTCAGTCGGGGGGAATAGCGCCCCGTCGTTGGTGTCAGTCGGGGGGAATAGCGCCCCGTCGTTGGTGTCAGTCGGGGGGAATAGCGCCCCGTCGTTGGTGTCAGTCGGGGGGAATAGCGCCCCGTCGTTGGTGTCAGTCGGGGGGAATAGCGCCCCGTCGTTGGTGTCAGTCGGGGGGAATAGCGCCCGTCGTTGGTGTCAGTCGGGGGGAATAGCGCCCCGTCGTTGGTGTCAGTCGGGGGGAATAGCGCCCCGTCGTTGGTGTCAGTCGGGGGGAATAGCGCCCCGTCGTTGGTGTCAGTCGGGGGGAATAGCGCCCCGTCGTTGGTGTCAGTCGGGGGGAATAGCGCCCCGTCGTTGGTGTCAGTCGGGGGGAATAGCGCCCCGTCGTTGGTGTCAGTCGGGGGGGAATAGCGCCCCGTCGTTGGTGTCAGTCGGGGGGAATAGCGCCCCGTCGTTGGTGTCAGTCGGGGGGAATAGCGCCCCGTCGTTGGTGTCAGTCGGGGGGAATAGCGCCCCGTCGTTGGTGTCAGTCGGGGGGAATAGCGCCCCGTCGTTGGTGTCAGTCGGGGGGAATAGCGCCCCGTCGTTGGTGTCAGTCGGGGGGGAATAGCGCCCCGTCGTTGGTGTCAGTCGGGGGGAATAGCGCCCCGTCGTTGGTGTCAGTCGGGGGGAATAGCGCCCCGTCGTTGTGTCAGTCGGGGGGAATAGCGCCCCGTCGTTGGTGTCAGTCGGGGGGAATAGCGCCCCCGTCGTTGGTGTCAGTCGGGGGGAATAGCGCCCCGTCGTTGGTGTCAGTCGGGGGGAATAGCGCCCCGTCGTTGGTGTCAGTCGGGGGGAATAGCGCCCCGTCGTTGGTGTCAGTCGGGGGGAATAGCGCCCCGTCGTTGGTGTCAGTCGGGGGGAATAGCGCCCCGTCGTTGGTGTCAGTCGGGGGGAATAGCGCCCCGTCGTTGGTGTCAGTCGGGGGGAATAGCGCCCCGTCGTTGGTGTCAGTCGGGGGGAATAGCGCCCCGTCGTTGGTGTCAGTCGGGGGGAATAGCGCCCCGTCGTTGGTGTCAGTCGGGGGGAATAGCGCCCCGTCGTTGGTGTCAGTCGGGGGGAATAGCGCCCCGTCGTTGGTGTCAGTCGGGGGGAATAGCGCCCCGTCGTTGGTGTCAGTCGGGGGGAATAGCGCCCCGTCGTTGGTGTCAGTCGGGGGGAATAGCGCCCCGTCGTTGGTGTCAGTCGGGGGAATAGCGCCCCCGTCGTTGGTGTCAGTCGGGGGGAATAGCGCCCCGTCGTTGGTGTCAGTCGGGGGGAATAGCGCCCCGTCGTTGGTGTCAGTCGGGGGGAATAGCGCCCCGTCGTTGGTGTCAGTCGGGGGGAATAGCGCCCCGTCGTTGGTGTCAGTCGGGGGAATAGCGCCCCGTCGTTGGTGTCAGTCGGGGGGAATAGCGCCCCGTCGTTGGTGTCAGTCGGGGGGAATAGCGCCCCGTCGTTGGTGTCAGTCGGGGGGAATAGCGCCCCGTCGTTGGTGTCAGTCGGGGGGAATAGCGCCCCGTCGTTGGTGTCAGTCGGGGGGAATAGCGCCCCGTCGTTGGTGTCAGTCGGGGGGAATAGCGCCCCGTCGTTGGTGTCAGTCGGGGGGAATAGCGCCCCGTCGTTGGTGTCAGTCGGGGGAATAGCGCCCCGTCGTTGGTGTCAGTCGGGGGGAATAGCGCCCCGTCGTTGGTGTCAGTCGGGGGGAATAGCGCCCCGTCGTTGGTGTCAGTCGGGGGGAATAGCGCCCCGTCGTTGGTGTCAGTCGGGGGGAATAGCGCCCCGTCGTTGGTGTCAGTCGGGGGGAATAGCGCCCCGTCGTTGGTGTCAGTCGGGGGGAATAGCGCCCCGTCGTTGGTGTCAGTCAGTCGGGGGGAATAGCGCCCCGTCGTTGGTGTCAGTCGGGGGGAATAGCGCCCCGTCGTTGGTGTCAGTCGGGGGGAATAGCGCCCCGTCGTTGGTGTCAGTCGGGGGGAATAGCGCCCCGTCGTTGGTGTCAGTCGGGGGGAATAGCGCCCCGTCGTTGGTGTCAGTCGGGGGGAATAGCGCCCCGTCGTTGGTGTCAGTCGGGGGGAATAGCGCCCCGTCGTTGGTGTCAGTCGGGGGGAATAGCGCCCCGTCGTTGGTGTCAGTCGGGGGGAATAGCGCCCCCCGTTGGTGTCAGTCGGGGGGAATAGCGCCCCGTCGTTGGTGTCAGTCGGGGGGAATAGCGCCCCGTCGTTGGTGTCAGTCGGGGGGAATAGCGCCCCGTCGTTGGTGTCAGTCGGGGGGAATAGCGCCCCGTCGTTGGTATCAGTCGGGGGGAATAGCGCCCCGTCGTTGGTATCAGTCGGGGGGGAATAGCGCCCCGTCGTTGGTATCAGTCGGGGGGAATAGCGCCCCGTCGTTGGTATCAGTCGGGGGGAATAGCGCCCCGTCGTTGGTATCAGTCGGGAGGAATAGCGCCCCGTCGTTGGTATCAGTCGGGAGGAATAGCGCCCCGTCGTTGGTATCAGTGGGAGGAATAGCGCCCCGTCGTTGGTATCAGTCGGGAGGAATAGCGCCCCATCGTTGGTATCAGTGGGAGGAATAGCGCCCCGTCGTTGGTATCAGTGGGAGGAATAGCGCCCCATCGTTGGTATCAGTGGGAGGAATAGCGCCCATCGTTGGTATCAGTGGGAGGAATAGCGCCCCATCGTTGGTATCAGTGGGAGGAATAGCGCCCCATCGTTGGTATCAGTGGGAGGAATAGCGCCCCATCGTTGGTATCAGTGGGAGGAATAGCGCCCCATCGTTGGTATCAGTGGGAGGAATAGCGCCCCATCGTTGGTATCAGTGGGAGGAATAGCGCCCCATCGTTGGTATCAGTGGGAGGAATAGCGCCCCATCGTTGGTATCAGTGGGAGGAATAGCGCCCCATCGTTGGTATCAGTGGGAGGAATAGCGCCCCATCGTTGGTATCAGTGGGAGGAATAGCGCCCCATCGTTGGTATCAGTGGGAGGAATAGCGCCCCATCGTTGGTATCAGTGGGAGGAATAGCGCCCCATCGTTGGTATCAGTGGGAGGAATAGCGCCCCATCGTTGGTATCAGTGGGAGGAATAGCGCCCCATCGTTGGTATCAGTGGGAGGAATAGCGCCCCATCGTTGGTATCAGTGGGAGGAATAGCGCCCCATCGTTGGTATCAGTGGGAGGAATAGCGCCCCATCGTTGGTATCAGTGGGAGGAATAGCGCCCCATCGTTGGTATCAGTGGGAGGAATAGCGCCCCATCGTTGGTATCAGTGGGAGGAATAGCGCCCCATCGTTGGTATCAGTGGGAGGAATAGCGCCCCATTGTTGTGGTATCAGTGGGTATCAGGAATAGCGCCCCATCGTTGGTATCAGTGGGAGGAATAGCGCCCCATCGTTGGTATCAGTGGGAGGAATAGCGCCCCATCGTTGGTATCAGTGGGAGGAATAGCGCCCCATCGTTGGTATCAGGGGAGGAATAGCGCCCCATCGTTGGTATCAGTGGGAGGAATAGCGCCCCATCGTTGGTATCAGTGGGAGGAATAGCGCCCCATCGTTGGTATCAGTGGGAGGAATAGCGCCCCATCGTTGGTATCAGTGGGAGGAATAGCGCCCCATCGTTGGTATCAGTGGGAGGAATAGTGCCCCATCGTTGGTATCAGTGGAGGAATAGTGCCCCATCGTTGGTATCAGTGGGAGGAATAGTGCCCCATCGTTGGTATCAGTGGGAGGAATAGTGCCCCATCGTTGGTATCAGTGGGAGGAATAGTGCCCCATCGTTGGTATCAGTGGGAGGAATAGTGCCCCATCGTTGGTATCAGTGGGAGGAATAGTGCCCCGTTGGTATCATTGGTATCAGTGGGAGGAATAGTGCCCCATCGTTGGTATCAGTGGGAGGAATAGTGCCCCATCGTTGGTATCAGTGGGAGGAATAGTGCCCCATCGTTGGTATCAGTGGGAGGAATAGTGGCCCCATCGTTGGTATCAGTGTGTGAGGAATAGTGCCCCATCATTGGTATCAGTGGGAGGAATAGTGCCCCATCATTGGTGTCAGTGGGAGGATTTAAGCCCCACTGTAGGGGTCAGTGACAGGATCAATGCCTCAAGGGCCAGATAAAAGCAAGCAAAGGGCCACATCTGGCCCTTGGATGTGACCCATACGTACATACACGGCTACCTTATGCAATTCCCTAAAGCTTTATACTCTCACCGGTCATGTTTTCATCCAGATGCAGAGACACCCCCACATCACAGAGCTTAATCGTCTCAAAGTCACCTTTGATGACAACGTTGGTGGATTTCATATCGCCATGCAGGATCTTCTTCTCATTGTGCAGGTACTAAGAAGAAATAGATTAAATCATCCCACAGGAATCAATGAACCATACCTAAAAACCTGAACAAAAGGAAAATCCTAAAATGCTAAGCGTTCCCACAAGCTTGCTCCCGGCACCGTACTGTTTTTCTGAACAAGTACCATGGTTATGTTACACTGGGATTTACTAAAGCTGGAGAGTCCAAAATCAGACTCCCTTCTGCATAGAAACCAATCAGCTTCTAACCTCAGCTTGTTCAACGAAGCTTTGGAAGCTGATTGGTTTCTATGCAGAAGGGAGTCTGATTTTGGACTCTCCAGCTTTAGTAAATAAACCCCAGGATGTGATGAATTTAGATGTCCGCAGTGTAGCGGTAGTGAACAGAAGATGAATTTTCTAATGAACACAAGTTTTAATTCAGCGCCTGCAACAAACTAGGGATTATTGTACTCACTAGAAATGTTTTTCTTGGCGTTCATTAACCCTTTCGCTACCAGAGCTGTTTTTGCACATATTTTAAAAATAATTTTAGGTCTGAAGATTACACAAAACCCCAAAACATTATATACACGGCTCATAAAAAATAAATGAAAGGAACACTTTAAAAACATCAAATATCATGGGGAAAAAAAATCTCCAGCTGGATCTCTATACTGATATGGACGGGGTAATGTGTGAGGAATGTAAGGACGCCCCATAGTTTGATGGAAATTAAAATGATTTTTCAGGTGTTTTTGGATTCAGTCTTCTGTAGGTCAATCAAAGTGAAGAAAAGATGCAGCAGGAGAGTCCATTTTGCTGAAATGTCATTGCAGCAACTCAGAATGGTCCTCAGTAGTTTGTATGGCCCCCCACGTGCTTGTATGCATGACTGACAACATCGGGGGAGGCTCCTAATGAGACCACGGATGGTGTCCTGGGGGATTTCCTTCCAGATCTGGATCCAGAAGAGGACATCACTGAGCTCCTGGACAGTCTGAGGTGCAACCTGGCGGCATCGGATGGACCGAAACATGATATCCCGGAGGTGTTCTATTGGATTTAGATCAGGCGAGCGTGGGGGCCGTTCAATGGTATCAATTCCTTCATCCTCCAGGAACTGCCTGCATACTCTCCCCACATGAAGCTGGGCATTGTCGTGCACCAGGAGGAACCCCCAGGACCCCCTGCACCAGGAGGAACCCAGGACCCCCTGCACCAGTGTAGGGTCTGACAATGGGTCCAAGGATTTCATCCCGATACCTAATGGCAGTCAGGGTGTCATTGTCTAGCCTGTAGAGGTCTGTGCATCCCTCCATGGATATGCCTCCCCAGACCATCACTGACCCACCACCAAAACGGTCATGCTGAACCATGTTACAGGCAGCAGAACGTTCTCCGCGGCTTCTCCAGACCCTTTCATGTCTGTCACATGTGCTCTGGGGGAACCTGCTCTCATCTGTGAAAAGAACAGAGCACTATTGGTGGACCTGCCAATTCTGGTGTTCAATGGCAAATGCCAATCAAGCTCTATGGTGCTGGACAGTGAGCACAGGGCCCACTAGAGGACATCGGGCCCTCAGGCCACCCTCAAAGTCTGTTTCTGATTGTTTGGTCATAGACATTCCCACCAGTGGCCTGCTGGAGGTCATTTTGTAGGACTCTGTGCAAGGAGGAACAGGATGAGCACTGCCAAAGGAGCAGATACCGGTCCTGCTGGTGGGTTAAGGACCTTCTACGGCCCTGTCCAGCTCTCCTAGAGTAACTTCCTGTTTCCTGAAATCTCCTCCATGCTCTTGAGACTGTGCTGAGAAACACAGCAAACCTTCTGGCAATGGGACGTATTGATGTGCCATCCTGGAGGAGTTGGACTGCCTGTGCAACCTCTGTAGGGTCCAGGTATGGCCTCATGCTACCAGTAGTGACACTGACCCTAGCCAAATGCAAAACCAGTGAAAAGCAGTCAGAAAAGAGTAGGTAAAAAAAAAAAAAAAAAAAAAAAAAAAAAAAAAAGTCAGTGGCCTCCACTTGTAAAGCTTACAAAATAAGAGGGAGGGGCTAGTGGTACAAAAGGTAATAACTGTGGGGGATGGACTGGTAGGAGGAACAAAAGATTCTGTTATTAGCTGAGGGCAGGATAGGCTTCACTGAAGAGATTTTCAGAGATCACCTAAAAGTGGGCAGAGTAGGTGATAGTCAGATTGGGGTAGAGAGTTCGAGGATGGGGGAGACTCTGGAGAAGTCCTAGAGACAAGTATGGGAGGAGACAAGGGAGCTAGAGAGCAGGAGGTCTTGCGAGGAGCAGAGAGGATGGTTTGGGTAATATTTGGAGACAAGGTCGGTGATGTAATTTGGGGCGGAGTTATAAATGGCTTTATAAGTTATTGTTAAGGTTTTGAATTTTATCCGTTGGGCAACGGGAAGCCAGTTGGAGGGGGGTTGGCAGAGAGGGGGGGTGGAGGACACTGAATGGAGACCAGTGGAGGGATTGGCAGAGAGGGGTGGAGGACACTGAATGGAGACCAGTGGAGGGATTGGCAGAGAGGGGTGGAGGACACTGAATGGAGACCAGTGGAGGGATTGGCAGAGAGGGGTGGCGGATACGGAACGGTTGGTAAGGTGGATGAGTCTGGCAGCAGCATTCATGATAGACTGAAGAGGGGATAGCCTGTGAGGAGGTAGGCCAATGAGGAGGGAGTTACAATAGTCAAGGAGAGATATAACAAGGGAGCGAATAAGTTGCTTAATGGTTTCTGAGGTTAGGAACGACCGTATCTTGGAGATGTTGCGGAGGTGAAATCGACAGCGATTGATAATTGCGCGGTCATGCAACACTGTACCCATATGATATACACACACGATTTTGCGCACCCTTGCCACCCTGTAGCAGTATATCTGCTATAGGGTAGACAGAAAGCCGTTAAACATGACTAGAGAATGATTAAAAAAAAAAAAAATCTAAGTTAAAGTGTTGAACAGATGAAATTGATTTGACAGATTTTTGCCTTTCTGGTTCAGGAATCTTTTAAACAGGGAAAAAAAAAAAAAAAAAACTAACACAGGTGTGTCCAGACGTACCTTCAGGCCTCTGGCCATATGTAGAGCTACTTTCAAAATAACGGCAGCAGGGAATGGGCCCAGTTCCTCATCATTCCTGGCTTCTATGAGGTCACGCAAAGATTTATCCCCTCCGAATTCCATTGCTAGACACAAGCTGCCATCTTTAGATTTGGTGAAGGCTCGATAACCTTAAGGGGGGGGGGGGGGGAGAAAAATTCAAGGGTGTAATTTTCTTGTAAACATAATACTGCAGAGCAGGGATGTAGGAAATGGTGACCTTGTGGTCTTAAATCTCATTTATACAGGTACAATAAACATACAAGCTGACCTCTGGCCTTCCTTCGAGTCTTGCACAGTTGTTCCGGCTCCTCTCCTGGACTGAAATGGCTTACTCTGATGTCACTGCACACTGTGAGCTGCTCACAACGTGCATTAGAGGCTGCAGCAAGTCAGATACAGCCTACCTGGAGGATGTCAAGCATCATCTAGCTCTCCATGATCTCCATCATATGATCTCCTCCATGTATAATACATAAGGGAGGATATGATCTCCATGTATAATACATAAGGGGGGATATGATCTCCATGTATAATACATAAGGGGGATATGATCACCATGTATAATACATAAGGGGGGATATGATCTCCATGTATAATACATAAGGGGGGGGATATGATCTCCATGTATAATACATAAGGGGGGATATGATCTCCATGTATAATACATAAGGGGGGATGTGATCTCCATGTATAATACATAAGGGGGGATATGATCACCATGTATAATACATAAGGGGGGATATGATCTCCATGTATAATACATAAGGGGGGATATGATCTCCATGTATAATACATAAGGGGGGATATGATCACCATGTATAATACATAAGGGGGGATATGATCACCATGTATAATACATAAGGGGGGATATGATCTCCATGTATAATACCATGTATAATACATAAGGGGGGATATGATCTCCATGTATAATACATAAGGGGGGATATGATCTCCATGTATAAATATATAAGCGGTTCATATAGTGAACTCTGATGACCTCAGGGTGAATAGCTCTACACAGAGGACAAGGGGGCACTCTTTACATCTGGAGGAAAAGAAAATTTAATCTCCAAACACGGAAAGGTTTCTTCACAGTAAGAGCTGTGAAAATGTGGAATAGACTCCCTCAAGAGTTGGCTCTGGCCAGCTCAGTGGATTGCTTCAAAAAACTCCTGGATTGTTTCTTGGATACACAGAATATAATTGGATATAACATTTATAGGTAAAGTTGATCCAGGGAATATCCGATTGCCTCTCGGGGGGATCAGGAAGGAATTTTTTTCCCTGCAGGAGCAAATTGGATCGTGCTTTGCTGTTTTTTTTGCCTTCCTCTGGATCAACTGTGGGTGTAGGATTATATTTTTTATTTTTTTTAATGGTTGAACTGGATGGACTTGTCTTTTTTCAGCCAGATTAACTATATGAATCTCATATGGCTATAGTATTTTATTCTGTGACAAATTCCTCAGGATCTGGCCATCTATCTGGTTTGGTTGGCAGAGTCTCTGTTGTCTTTGGACACAGCAAGACAAGTAAAACTCCAGAGAGGAGGTGAAACGTTTCAAAGTATGAGGCCTCATGCACACTGCAGGTTGAAAAGACCAAGTCTAAAACTTTCACTGATCTAAAATGCAGCACATTGCTTACAATGTGCCTGTATACACTGGTGTGTGAACTGCGTATTCTTGAGCAATAAAAAAATAATCAGTTTCCAGTCAGTATTTTGTGCCAGTGTGTGCAAAACTACGCACGAGCATAAATATTAATTGCATAAGAACGCATTGTGCACACACGTGCAAATACAAGCAAAACAAAAACGGGTGATACAGCTTCTTGAAAAAGTATTCATACCCCTTGAAATCTTCCACATTTTGTCATGTTACAACCAAAAACGTAAATGTATTTTGAAAACCATTTATCCTTTTCCTTCCACTTCACAATTCTGTGCCACTTTGTGTTGGTCTATCACAGAAAATCCCAATAAAATACATTACGTCTTTGGTCATAACATGACAAAATTTTCAAGGGGTATGAATACTTTTTCAAGGCTCTGTATTACGTCCATAAATGCTAATCCTCAAATATCAGTACTGGGTGCAAGAGGCCTTATAATGATCAAAAAAGTAACACTGGGAAGTTTACATTATAAGGCCACCGATCGGTGTACAGGACCCTCTGTGTGAGGTCCCGATCATGTGATCACTGATTGGCCAATCAGTGATCACATGAAGAGTAAAAGCAGATGTCACTTCCTGACATTGCTTACTATGTGTGAAATCTGGGAATGATCACAGAGGTCACATGGTACAAGGCTATTCACAACAGCCTTGTACCATGTGACAAGCTGTGACCAATCACAGCTCACGCAGTATTTCTCAATGGCTGCAAGAATGCAGCCAGAGAGAAGAAATGATTGCTTTTACAGCCTTTATGGGTGTAAAAACAGTGTTTAAAAAAAATAATCTTCATCACCCCTCACTAGTACAGTGTCACTATGGTGACACTGTACTGCTAGGGTGACAATATGTAAAAAAAAAAAAAAAAAAAAAAAAAAAAAAAAAAAAGTAATTCTGGTTATAAACCAATTTGTTTTTTTTTTTTTAACTAAAGATAACGTATAAAATTTTGCAAATAATCTCTTCATAAATCTTGGCCGAAAATTTATTAAGAAAAACCTTCCAAAATTTTTGGACTTTTATATAGCAAGAAAAAAAAAATCCCAGTGGTGAATACCAAAATAAAGTTTTATCTGTCTCAAAAGAAAAAAAAAAAAAAAAAAAAAAAAAAAAAAAAGCTAAAAGAATTCACATACACAGTACAGTGTTGAATGACAACTGTGCAGTCATGTAAAGTGTGAACAGCACTGAAAGCTGAAAATTGGCGTGGACTGGAAGGGGGTGAAAGTGTCCAGACTTGAAGTGGTTAAACATCTGACAGTCTACATCAAGCCCCACCATTATGCAGACCACCTTTCAAAAATAAAAAATGATTTTACTTTTACAGGCTATTAATTTTTATAACAAACTCAGTCGTAGCAGAAATATTCATTGTCAGCCCTGGGTCACACTGATGCGGTGCGGCACATCGCATGCGATTCGCACAGGAACCGCACCCCTGTGCAAATCACATGCAATTTCTGTGCGGTGCAATTTGAGCCCTAGATTTTGTATGGCAAAAAAAAAAAAAAAAAAAAAAAAAAAAAAAAAAAAAAAAAAACACCAAAATAGTGCAGGACACTTTTCTGTCTGCACCAGAATCGGATCGCATCGGTGTTCAAACCCACACGATCCGATTCTGCACATCGCATGTCATTTTGCGATCATATTTTGGGGTGTTGCTACCTTAAAATACACAGCAGCGTTTCGCATGAACGGGGTGCGATTATGATGCCGTGTGGAAACCAGTGCGAGTTCCGCACCGCGTCAGTGTGAACCAAGACTCAATCCAAAGATTTCCCCTAAAATAGATTTAGCTGCCAGAAGGTAAAATATGGGGCTGCCTGTGTTTAATGCTCTACTACCCCCGTCGGTCTAGAATATATAGAAAATGTTTTAGGTATTTCTTTGAGGGAAAAAAAAAAAAAAAAAAAAAAAAAACAAACACAATTTACCAACAATGTTGGGGTGCAGCAAATCCTTTAGGATCTTGGCCTCCACATTCAACCTCTCCTCATAAACGTTCTTGCTGGATTTGTCACACTGCTTACTGATCTTCTTGACGGCCCACGGGGAGTGAGACAAACCCTTTGGAGACCTAAAACACACAAAACAGGATTACATGAACTTTGACAGCTATAATGCAACGGGCAAGCAAAATCGTCTTAACCCCTTGCTGCCAGTGCCTCCTGGCCCTTTAAGGGGTGTGTGAAGCCAGGAGGAAAGGTGGGGTTTAGGGTCATGTGACCGCTGCGATTGGCCATCACATGGTCAGAAAGCTCCCTTTTGCAAGCAGTAATTGGGACCATTCCGTGAAATATTTATTTCAGGTACTTATATAGCGCCGTCAATTTACGGAGCACTTTACATATACATTGTACATTCACATCAGTCCCTAACCCTCAAGGGGAGTACAATCTAAGGTCCCTAACTCACATTCATACATACACATACTAGGGCCAATTTAGACAGGAGCCAATTCACCTACCAGCATGTCTTTGGAGTGTGGGAGGAAACCAGAGTACCCGGACGAAACCCACGCAGCCACAGGGAGAACATGCAAACTCCAGGTGCGAGCTCCCGGCATGTCTGTTTACATTAGGTACACAAATATGCAGCCTCTCGGCATCAAGGCCCAGCATATTTGTGTACTGTCGGCGATAAGGAGCTAACCAATTGCCCCAAAGAGGATTTACCCCCCTTCCTGATCAGGCCATTTTTTGCGATACGGCGCTGCATTACTTTAACTGACAACTGCGCGGTCATGCAGCGCTGCACCCAAATGAAATTTAAGTCCCCCCACAAATAGAGCTTTCTTTCGGTGGTATTTGTTCGCCTGTGTGTTTTTCATTTTTTGAGCTCTAAACAAACATAAGATCACCAATTTTGGAAACCCCCCACCAACCTACAGTATATTTTTTACTTTTTGCTATTAAACATGTCCAAACTTTTTTTTTTTTTTTTTTTTAAAAATCAAATTTCATCATAAAATTTAGGCCAAAATGTATTCTGCTACAAGTCTTTGCTAAAAAAACAAAACAAAAAAAACAAACCACAAATACGTGTAAATGAATAGGTTTACATGCAAGTTGTAGCGTCTACAAATGGCGGTGTATATATACTGGGGTTTGTTTTTTTTTTTTTTTTTTTTTTTAAAAGTAATGGCGGCGATCAGCAACTTATAGTGGGACTGCAGCGGGCACTCTGACACTGGGGTGGTACTGACTGGCACTGCCATCTCCATTGACACCAATACAGTGATCAGTGCTAATAAAAAGCATTGACACTGCACTAATGACACTGAGCAGGAAGGAGTTAACATCTGGGGTGATCAAAGTGTTGTTAACTGTGTGCTATTTTACTGTGTCCCTGCTTTACACTGTAAACACACTGCTTTGTATGGTTCTGCTATGCAGAGCCTTACAAAGCAGTATGCAGGAGCTGACAGGGGAGAGATCTGTATTGTTTACACAATGTCACTGCCATCCTCTGACACCAGTACAGTGATCAGTGCTAATAAAAAGAACTGCCACTGCACTAATGACACTGGGCAGGAAGGAGTCAACCTCTGGGGTGATCAAAGGGGTTAACTGTGTGCCAATTTACGGTGTCCCTGCTTTACACTGTAAATACACTGCTTTGCATGGTTCTGCAATGCAGAGCCTTACAAAAGCAGTATGCAGGAGCCGACAGGGGAGAGATCTGTATTGTTTACATATAGGTCTCTACCCCATCAGTGATGCCCGGCAATCGCCGGGTGCTGGCGGGGAATCACCGGCCGGGAGTCAGTGATCGACAGCTGAGGCCGCCAATGGTGGTGCACCCCCCTACCCAAAAATCGTGTGTGTGTGTGTGTGTGTGTATTATATTTATTTTGTGCAGCTGCACCGCCCTGTAACAGTATTTCTGCTATAGAGCAGCGTGGGAGCCGTTAAAGTATAACTAAAGGCAAGAAAGTGGGATTTTTTTTTTTTTTGTACGTTTTGGATATAATGGAGAGGGATTAGAACCAGTCAGTGTTTTTACTGCTGTCTGTGCCTGGTAGGGAGACTCACCTTCACTACTTGTCCTGTTTACCGTTATCAAAAAAAAAAAAAAAAAAAAAAAAAAAAACTTTTGTAATAGAGTGGAATTTTTGCAATAGAGACACTAGTTCTGATGACTTCTGAGTCACCAAGAAATTCTCTAAATGTGCGGGGATTTCCTCTCACTTCCTGGTTTGCCTATGAGACAGGAAGTGAAGATAAATCTCCCCAATGGGACACAGATGGCAAACAAACTGACAGGGGTTATAACCCTCCCTTACTACAAATGTACATTCTACCTTAACTAGATGAATATCACCGCACCCTCTTCTGTTTAACCTGGTACCAGCCAAAAGAAAATGTGTGGCCTCCCGGCCTAGACACCGAGCGGCCGCACATTTGCGTTCTATTATTATACAGTATTTATATAGCGCCAAAAGGTTTGCTCAGCGCTGTACATTGTAGTGGGGGACAGAACATGAGACAATACAGTAACAAAATACACAAGGGGTTTGAGGGCCCTGCTCTTTCGAGCTTACAATCTAGGAGAACAAATGTGCTGAGAGTGCGCGCCCTGCTCGCTCCCAGCACACATGTTCAGTACTCACGAAAAGGTCCCCATCTCCTCTTTCGATCATGTGACCGCCGTGGCAGCAAATAATGGCAATCACATGACCCTAAAACCCCTTAACCCTTTGAGGACCAAGGGACGTATTTGCCCCATGTTTTTAATTGCGTGTATCATCTGATTAAGAACTTAAAACTTTTCTTTTTTTTTGGTTTGAGTCAAAATATTAGTTCTTATCAACAAATGGATCTAGCTTTTTGCCAGTTATTTCATGAAATGGCTTAGTTACAGCAACTGAAGTGTACGAACTTTAAAAACAAAAAAAATTGATTCTTTTGGCGTTTCAAAATCTTACGGTCCTCAAAGGGTTAAAGGTTCCAGGAGGCACCGTCGCCAAGGGGTTAAGGAGTGCCGAAACCCATATTACTCTATTCCTCCAAAGGAACACTTGATCATTCAACATAGGGCTACCCCAAACAAAAGTCAGTCAACTGGGAGCCTTGGTCATCGATCTCTGGCTTAGCACCAATATCTTTGATTATGTAAAACCTATTCCGATGCTAAAGAGTTTTGTTTAAATAAAAAAAAAAAAAAAAATAGAATCTCAGAACTAGCAGTGTCAGGATCCTCGTACCCCAGGGGAGCATCCTTCAGCTCTGTAAGTACCAGGACCTCACTAGAGGAGGGTGAGTGGAGGTCCTTGACCGTCACTGGAAGGGCCGTCATACATCAGTCTAATACAGACCTCTTCTAGTATGGAAGTCTGTAAAGGAGAACGCATTCATATACCAGCACATGGTGGTTTGTGGTGCAAGGAGGAGGTTTGGTCACACGCACACCAATCCTGACTTTTTTCTATTCCACGCTCCACCAACTTCCACCTGTCTAATCACAGTGCCCTAAAATCAGTGTCCCTGTAGCTTCTGACATACAATTGGCAAGAGGCAGAACTTGCCTGTCCTAGCTTTCCCCCCCCCCCCTCCCTTTATTTTCTGCCAAAATCAACATTGGGCTCACCTCTTCATCAGGTAAACACTGACCCCGGTTCCATAACCAAACTTCTGCATAAACGGTGAAGCCGGGATGGCGAACGTTGGCGATGGAGTAGACACATCTGTGACAAAGAAGGTTCAGGTGATTAGCTTGGAGGATGCATGTCTCAAGATTTTCTTAATGATACTGTAATGCAGGCCATAGATGGTACGAAACTATTCGATATTTTGTTTATCGAACGAAAAATCGGGTCGGTCTAATATCCGACTGAACCACCAATTACTAAACTCGGCCGATTAAGCCATGAAAATCATAACCTGTAACAGGAAACTCCCGTATTTTTCTCTCCATAAGATGCACTCCCCCCCCCCCCCCAAAAAAAAGGGGGGAGATGTCAGTGCATCTTATGGAGCGAATATAAAGCGGCTGGTTCGGTATTTCAGCCGCCACCATGTCAGAATACCGGGCCGGCCGCTCAGCTCTTCTCTCCTGCAGGACCTTACCTGTCCCTCGCTCTAGCGCTGTACAGTCTTCCATAACAGACGGGTGCACATGCGCGAGAAGCGCTGCGCTTTGTGAATGGTCCCACACATGAAAGGTCCCAGAAGGCACCGGGCCATTCACAAAGCGCAGCGCTTCTCGCGCATACGCAATGGGCACCCGGCTGTTACAGAAGCCGGCGCAGGAAGAAGAGGGAAGGATAACTCCGCGGAAGTGGGAGCGGGTACCTGTCAAATTCAGGTACCTGCTGCCTCTCCCTCCCTAAAAGCTCTGCAGCCTCTGGTCATCTCTACTATGTCCCTGGTATTTTCCCTGTACTGCGTCCGCAGTCTCTGGTCATCTCCTGTACTGCGTCCGCAGTCTCTGGTCATCCCCTGTACTGCGTCCGCAGTCTCTGGTCATCCCCTGTACTGCTGCGTCCGCAGTCTCTGGTCATCCCCTGTACTGCGTCCGCAGTCTCTGGTCATCCCCTGTACTGCGTCCGCAGTCTCTGGTCATCCCTGTACTGCGTCCGCAGTCTCTGGTCATCCCCTGTACTGCGTCCGCAGTCTCTGGTCATCCCCTGTACTGCGTCGCAGTCTCTGGTCATCCCTGTACTGCGTCCGCAGTCTCTGGTCATCCCCTGTACTGCGTCCGCAGTCTCTGGTCATCCCCTGTACTGCGTCCGCAGTCTCTGGTCATCCCCTGTACTGCGTCCGCAGTCTCTGGTCATCTCCTGTACTAGGAGCATGGAGCCTTAGAGTTAAGTTAGGATTAGGGGTTAATATTTTGTCATCTTAATATTTGTTAGGGTGATAATACTCCTACATTACAGGGCCCTCCTAACCCTCTTGTATTGAACTGTATCATTGCTGTATTGTCTCCCATTATATTGTAAAGTGCTGAGCAAACTGTTGGCGCCATAAATCCTGTATAATAATAAATAAAAGAGAAAAATCATAAATAAACTAAATGAATACTACATAATAAATCTCCTGTGTGCCAGAGCCGTTTCTGCACACATTCACAAAATAATTTTAGGTCTGAAGATTACACAAAACCCCCAAAACATTATATACACGGCTCAAAACAAATGAAAGGAACACTTTGAAAACACATCAGATCTCAATGGAGAGACATCTCCTGCTGGATCTCTATACTGACATGGACGGGGTAATGTGTTAGGAATGTAAGGATGTCCCATCGTTTGATGGAAATTAAAATGATCGACCTACAGAGGACTGAATTCAAAGACCCCCGAAAATCAAAGTGAAAAAATGATGCAGCAGGCGAGTCCATTTTTCTGAAATGTCATTGCAGCAACTCAGACTGGTCCTCAGTAGTTTGTATGGCCCCCACGTGCTTGTATGCATGCCTGACAACGTCGGGGGAGGCTCCTAATGAGACCACGGATGGTGTCCTGGGGGATTACCTCCCAGATCTGGACCAGGGCATCACTGAGCTCCTGGACAGTCTGAGGGGCAACCTGGTGGTGTCGGATGGACCAAAACATGACATCCCAGAGGTGTTCTATTGGATTTAGGTCAGGCGAGCGTGGGGGCCATTCAATGGTATCAATTCCTTCATCCTCTTGGAACTGCTTGCATACTCTCCCCACATGAGGCCGGGCATTGCCGTGCACCAGGAGGAACCCAGGGCCCGCTGCACCAGGAGGAACCCAGGACCCACTGTACCAGTGTAGGGTCTAACAATGGGTCCAAGGATTTCATCCCGATACCTAATGGCAGTCAGGGTGCCATTGTCTAGCCTGTAGAGGTCTGTGTGTCCCTCCATGGATATGCCTCCCCAGACCATCACTGACCCACCACCAAAATGATAAAAAAACCTGTGTGCAGCAGTAGCACCCCACCCCGAGCCCCCTCAAGTCCCGTTTCTCTGGGGGCTCTCACTCCTGACTGGCTGAGGCAGCCATTGGCTCTTGCTGCTGTCAATCACAGGCAGTGAGCCTATCAGGAGGAGGGGACAGGGCCAATCCATGGCTCTGTGAGTGAATAGACACGCACAGCTGCGAGCATGCCTGCTTGGGTGCCCCCATAGTAAGCGGTTTGCTATGGGGGCATCTTACAGGGGGAGGGGCCAGGAGTGGGCAGCCGCCAAAGTTGTAAAGACTTCGGCACGGAGGAAGGCGGCCATTCAGCGGTCTAGTCCCGGTGCAAAGGCGGGATCACTAGGTGGAAATAAAAGTCTGAAAATAAAAGTATAAATAACAAACTTTTTTTTATTGTAATTTTGGATATGGCGGAGAGGGATTAGATCCCCTGTCAGGGTTGTATTGCTCTCTGCCCCCCCCCCCCCCGAGAGATTCACCCCATTTGTGAAATAGAGAAATGATAGAAAAACCCAAATGCTGGGTCGTCACCAAAACAGGAAGTGGGAGAAATCATTTGGGGGACACTAGTTCTGGTGACAACACTCTGGAGCAGGGGTGGGCAACCTGCATCCCTAACAGCTGTTGGAGAACTACAAGTCCCATCATGCCTCTGCAAGTCATGATTGTAACTGTCACTCTTACAGTGCCTCTTGGGAAATGTAGTCCCACAACAGTTGAAAGGCTGCAGCTTGCTTTGAAGGGATTTGAAGGGAAGTGAGAGGAAATCACCTGACGGGGACACTTGGATTTCCTCTCATTTCCAGTTTTGGCTATGGGACAGGAAGTGAAGGGAAATCTCCCCAAAAGGGAACACTAGTAGTTGTGTTGCCTATGAGACAGGAAGAGAAGGACAATCTCCCCAATGGGACACACTAGTTGTGCTGTCTGAGACAGGAAGTGAAGGGAAATCTCCCTAATGGGGAAACTAGTTGTGTTGTCTATGAGACAGGAAGTGAAGGATAATTTCCAAAAGGGAACACTAGTTGTTGTGTTGTCTATAAGACAAGAAGTGAAAGAAAATCTCGCCAATGGGGACACTAGTTGTGTATGAGACAGGAAGTGAAGGATAATCTCCCCAATGGGCACACAAGTTCATGTGACAACATTTTGAAGAGATTACCTCTCACATTCAATGGGGACACTAGCTCTGGGGACACTTTAGGAGGATTTCCGACACCTCCTGTTTCAGTTATGACACAGGAACTGAAATCGACCCCCAATGGGGACACTAGTGGTGTTGTCTATGAGACAGGAAGTGAAGGATAATCTCCCCAATGGGGACACTAGTGGTGTTGTCTATGAGACAGGAAGTGAAGGATAATCTCCCCAATGGGGACACTAGTGGTGTTGTCATTGAGACAGGAAGTGAAGGATAATCTCCCCAATGGGGACACAAGTTCATGTTTATAAATATTGAATAATAATGTGACAACATTTTGAAGGGATTACCTCACACATTCAATGGGGACACTAGCTCTGGGGACACTTTAGGAGGATTTCCGACACCTCCTGTTTTAGTTATGACACAGGAAGTGAAATCGACCCCCAACGGGGACACCGGAAGTGAAAATCCCCCAATGGGGACACAGGAACTGAAATCGACCCCCAATGGGGACACTAGTTCATGTGACACTTTTAAGGGATTACCTCTCACATGCAATGGGGACACTAGCTCTGGGACACTTTAGGAGGATTTCCTCACACTTCCTGTTTTAGCTATGACACAGGAAGTGAAATCCCCCCCCTCAATGGGGACACCGGAAAAAATCCCCCCCCCCCCCCCAATGGAAAAATAAAATCCCCCCCCCCCCCCCCCGGAATGGGGACACAGTCCACACATATGGGATAACCCAAATGGGGACACAGTCCACACATATGTGACCGTGCCCTGTGGCCCCCATGATGACAGGCTCACTACATACGGAACATTAATAATTTCTCTCTGCTCCTCCCCCATACTATTTACACACCAGCCCCGCACTGCAAGTCCCAGCGGTGCCCCCCTTCACTCACCAGAAGAGTTCCGCCGGTCCACCTTTAATGGGTCTTGAAGGTCTCGGCCGCCGTAGTCCCATCACTGCTGCGCCCCGACATCCTGGTTTCCCGATCACTTCAGCAGGCCCTTCTCCCGCCTTTTCCTTCAAATCCAGAACGACGTGCGCGCCCCCGAACCTCGACGTAACGCGTACATGCCTGCGTTTCCCCTTTGCTTACTACTCATGCGCCGGGTCGGCGCGACGCGAGGAGGAGGAGGAGCCGAAACCGACAAGCGCTAACTGCGCGCTCGCCTCCGCCAAGCTCTCCTTGGTTACGTGACTGATGACATCACTGCGTGTCTAAATAAAGTCGTTGACAGTAGAACGCAGGTTGTCTTCTGGGTACACTACTTGTTAACGCGATTTTTAAACGCGCCTACAGGGCACTTCTACCCCCTCCTGCCCAGGCCAATCTCCAGCTCTCAGCGCTGTCACACTTTGCATTTGAACAATTGCGCAGTCATGCAACACTGCACCCATAGGAAATGTATATCATTTTTTTAACACAAGTAGAGCTTTCTTTTGATGGTATGTACTGGCCGCTGGGGGTTGTATTGTATTTGCGCTCTATAAACAAAAAAAGAGCAAAAAAATTGAAAAAGAAAAATTTTTTCTTTGGTTCTATTATAAAATTTTGCAAGCAGGTAATTTTTTTCACTGATGTGCG